GCAACGATCTTGATGGGTTGACACCGTCAATCAACTTAATTAATAATCGACAAAATAAGTCATGTGACATGTCATTCACATTATCATTAACCATTAAATAACAGTAACATGACACCTGCGCCAAATTAAACATGTGTACAGCGTACAAATTGTACATGCAATTATTAAAGTACATTGTACATGTTATAATACATGATAGCTAATAGTAATATAGCTATTATCCAATAATATTGGATAATATCCTGCCAGCTAGTATATATGGTATACAAGCGCCAGCCGCCACCAGCGTGCTTAAAGGTTAAATACGCTCAATGACTTCTAGGCCATGTCATCAGTCATTGACCGAACTTTAACTAATTGCTAATTTTTTTCCCTGCTCTTGCCGAAGGCAAAAAGATCGTAGGGAATAAGTAATCGGGTTTGGATATATGAGGTGGCTCGACGGTCCTACGATGATGACAAAAGTCTGCTCCTTCGCAATATCGACCACTCCCATATAATTATGTGTATAAAAGGAACCTATTTTGCGCGCGCGACGCCAGTTATGTGTTAATTAATTGCAGGCATAGCAACCAGTTTTAGGTGCTTGACGACTGTTAAATTTCCGCTAGCTCTCCGCTAGGTTCCACTATTCATCCGCTATTGCCGCTAGTTTTTTAATAAATTACCGAGTGATAAAATTCAGAACAAACTAAATTATTACATCAGCTGATAAACTCGTGGCCGATTATTTAACAGTTGATTGACACTGAATGGTAAAAAGCGATTACATTTACATATTTAAGAACAGATGTTACTTTACATTTACATTCAAGAAGCAACTAAGATCAAGATTGCGGTATGCTTTTAAAAATTCCTATATAGTCGATGGTGCTGTAGATGTGTCGAGTAAGCATCAAAATGTATTAGTTTATGTTAGATACTTCTAATAACTAAGATGAGACAGAATATTCTATTCCAGTCAAAAAAGTTGGCATACGACGATGCAATAATATGACGTGACATAATACACATCGTTAACACGAAACAAACCGCGCAAAATATGAAATGATCTACAACCAAACCACACGTACACAGATCAACGCGCGCGACACTACAAAAATGCGCGCAGAATTTTCAAGTTCTGCACGTGGCACGCCAAATATATCGAAAACGATTATCATGTTACATGTGCGCCAAACACCACTCTGGGATACAATAAAGTAGAACAATTACATTGTAGGCAGAAGGGGAAATTTGATCGTGCGTGGTTTTACCGCGGCGAAATTCTTGTTAATGTACAATGTAGTTTATTAAACAAAAATGCTCACACTTGTATTGGCCTCGCACCAGCTTCCAAATAATCAATGTCAAATATGGGATCGGATTTAAGTATGCTATTGCTGCACCAATGATTGTGCAATGAAACTGACCCCAAATATCATGGCCAACAAATGCAAATTTAACAGCTGCCAACATTGACAATTAACAATTGGCATGATAATATATACAATATACAAACAGAGTCCATATTTGATATTGGATTAAATTTTTTGGTTCATTACCCACATGATTTATGATTTACATTTTGACATACGGAATCATCCACATAATCTTTGACCACGTGACACGTCACACAGTATGCGTCACATCTGGCAGACTCCTTTGAAGTTAAACGCTATTCCGAGCATTTCTAATCAAATCATCGGTTATAATTACTATTAGCTGTATAGGATTCGTTGGCCACATAACAATAGCATCAGCTGGTCGCTGTTATTCATTAACTTCCTCCCATTATAGGCGCCCGTAGTTCATGCAATACACGTTGTCATAATGATAAAACCGTGGGAACTCATTATGACAGCCCTCAAGTAAGATGAAAGTGCCGGCGATAAACCGCATTTTTGCCGGTTAATCGTGTCTTAGAGTCAAACTTACTCGTTTGTCGTTGTTGCTTTGACTGAGATTGATATGTCAGGAGCCTTCCTGGTTTTTGTTATAGCGTGATACTGCTGCAGGAAATGCATATTGATAAATATGGTGAACAAATGAAGAACGACTCGCTAATCAACTATACAAACACAAACGGAGCAACTTCGGAAGGGTTGCTCGTACTAGACAACACAATCAAAGAACCAGACACAATCCTCCTGAACGTCCTTCTGGGTAGAGATTCAGAAAACAACAGCCTCACTTCCAGTCACTCATCATGGATTATCTACACCAACTGCATCCTGACACGGATCTTGTTTTGTCCCTGTCTGCTAGCCATGCTGATATCATCGGTCCTCCTGATCTACTTGATAAGAAAATATCTGAGAGACGGGACAATAATCTACCTCTCCGTCATCACCTACTCACTGTCACAGATCCTAATGTTCGCAGTGATAGTTCTCGACATTATTCTCTCTTCCTGGTCACTTAGCTCTCTTCTCTTCTGCAAGATCAGGGCCACCTCCGAGATATTCGTCCTAGTGGTTGCAGCCTACTCCATCCTCGTTATGACAGCTGTACGCTTCATTTTCATCCACCGACCTCTGCGCTACCGGATCATCCTTAAGATCAGAAATCAACTCATAGTTGAAATCCTGATGATCATTCTCTCAGCCACTCTCACACTTTCCCCTGTATTGTTCGGACTGTGTGCTCTGGAGGTAGAAGAGGAGAAGTTCTGTCACTTCCAGATTGGAACAGGTCCCTGCATGATCTTCCAAACCATCATAGTCGGTGTGGGAATCATGCTGCCAGTTCTCGCTACAGCTCTACTCTACGGTTTCATTTACAAGACCATTCTAAGACTGAAATCAGAGCAGAAATGGTTACAGCCAACAGTAAGAAGAAGTTCAAGAATGAAAGTGGAGAGATCAGAAAGTCAGGACACGGCCAGAACGGGAAGCAGCGTAGTCAGCGACAGCTCCAAGTCAACATCAAGGAACAACTCACACCCTCACCAAGACTTGGAAGAGATAGCAGGAGCGGTACTGAAGAAGACGAGGCTATCGGGAGTATCAGACCTGGAAAGTGAGGATAGAGAGATCCCACAAGTGGAGAGTTTAGAACGAGAGGAGCGGGGAGAGATGTCGTCTATCACCAACATAGCAGCCCTGATCAGGAGCAACACAAGTGGTGGTAAACGTGTCCTGATGAAGGGGATGTCTCATACTTCCAACCTAGTTAGGAACATCTCCAGGAAGCGCCTTGTTTCCCTGAGAAACATGGCTAAAGAGTCAGTGCAAGTGCCGTGGTCTATAGTTGCTGTGTTAGTGCTGTATGTTATCACTACTGTCCCCTGGATTGCTCTGATTGTGGCGCCCCAACTGTGGTACCAGGCTATTTCAGGGGAACTCAGGTTGCTGCTGGATATTAAGTATTCGATCATGTTTCTGGGCATTGCTTGTTCACCCATCGCTACAATCGTTACGACCAAAGCGCTCAGGAAATCGTTTTGGATGCTTGTTTACAGTTTCAAACGTGGTTAACGGACCAGAGCACGTGACCATAATCAAATTACAGACAGAAGTATATCAGAGATACCACCACCGAATATAACTGAACATGATCTACTCAATTATCTGATTTCCGTATTGGACTGATGTGTCAATTTTGGGTCAATAAAAGGAATACAAGTGATTGAGATATGACAATCAATAGCAATTAGTGTAACAAATACATGTACAAAAGGGATTCCTTTATTTTTCTTTTCACATCGAAAACTTAACACAAACTTCAGCATAATGAATAAATAATTTGCATTTATTTGCATTGTTTGTTTAAATATATATTGTCTCGTTTGGCGAGTATCTTACAATTTTTTGTAAGCAGCCAGCGAAAAAAATCTAAAACATTATTCGCCAGCTAAGTTGTAATGCTATTCTTTATGTAATTTATCAGATTGAGTTTTGTAATAAAAGAAGTGATAGTTTAAGATTATCTAATGGAAGGGTTCAAAGTAAGCCGAAACATCATCTACTTTTTTGTTTAATCTAAAATTTAACGTAGCTAAAAATGTCTCAATTAAGATGAAATTGGTATTATGGACTAAGATGTAACATAAAACTAAGTTGATCTTATGACTAACTAAAAGATCTTAAACCTAGTGTCAATGAGTGTTTAAGTGAGGAACCGTAAACCTAGATGCTTACTGGATTCCTATTTTTAAAACCATAAATATTTTAAACGACAAAAACATCTGTCTTAATCGACTATCGGAGTTGTTAGCAGGACATGGAATAAACAGCGAAATTTGGCATTTAAAGTATTTAAGAAGAGCTAATAAACGTAATCAAAAGAACATTATCTTCCTAAAAAAACCCACGACTAGATTATTAGTAAGTCTTCTCTTCTCCATTCTGGCAAACAGATACATGTACCCGCCAGACATTCCTACCAACACAATAATATGTTGATTCGAAGCAAAACTTGCTTAACAAAAATGTACACTAACATCCCAAATATGCGCTGATGATTTTTCATAAACCAAAATTAGGAGATATATAAGAAAAATCATCATCAAAGAATTCCGAGGATATCTCTTTAAAACTCAACTCCCAATACCTTTACTCAGCTGCTACAGACCTACAGAAAGAATAAATCTGATAAAAAACACGACAATCACTAGCATCAAATAAAATTCCTAAGCGTCTACTGAAGTGTATCACAATACATCCACACAAACTTCGCTCGTTACATCCATACCCAAAACACATTCCCAATTCTGTACAAAAATAAAATATAACATTATATGTAAAACCGGCACAGTTATAAGCCGGGAACACGCCCACGCGCGTGCACAAGTTTTTTTTAGTAAACAACGACAAATGAATTTAGTGAAAATCTACCCTCAAATACATACAATCATGACGAAAGATCAACATTCAACAATCAATGTGAAGTTTATCGGCAATTTGGTTGGAGTTTAGCCAATACTATCAAAAATTGAAACATTATCATTACAATCTATGTGAAAAAAACGTATAATTAAAGATCATTACATTATCAGAGCCTAGCAACGACCACACACACACACACCACAATTATTAATCCCCACTAATAATGGAATATACACGTGATACTACACATGGTGTACATCACTATTATTAACAGTGTAATCACTTAAACGGGGACACCATATTTAGCAGTGTTGCTATAGTCGATTTGATCGTAAACTTTAATACTCTGAGGACGATTTCTGGTACCGGTGTTGTCATTCATACTGACTACCACGCTGGCACCGCTTTTAGTGCTCTTCAAGCTGCCCCCACTCCTTAGGGAGGTGGAGGGGCTTCTGGTAGCGCTGTTGTTGGGGGAGACTCTAGTTGCGTTAGCATCAATGTTCGAGTCACAGTGGGTGGAGTTGTCTGTTTGCGTGACCAGCTTGTAAGATTGTAGGTTAGGGGACATGAAAGATGGGGATTCGGCTGGGTCGCAGGCGAACCGTGCTACGTTTATCGGCGGAGAGACAGCTTCCTTGAGGTTAACACCGCTGTCTGTAGGACTGCGGTCGTTATCAGGCGTGCTGGTTTGTACTGCGTCGTACTTCGTGGAGTGAGCTTCGAAGTTATTGGTGAAGCCGATAAAGCTGAGAAGTGTGGGTAGGAAGACGAGCGAGTGAAGTGCACCCAGGATAACGATACCCAGATACATCCTAAAGTAGAAGATCTCAAATATCTGAGATTTAGCGAAGGCCAGCACGACGATTCCAACAAACTTTGTAAGTGTGATCCCACTTAGAACGGACGGACCAGTCCTAACCAGAGCATCGTAACTTTTATCCATCCTCCGATAGCCTTAGACTTGGTGAAACTTTTAACAATATGCGAGGAGAACTCCACCGAGATTCCTACACTCATAACCAGATTTACTAAACTAACAGCGTTCAGAGTTATACCCCACAGGTACATCAGACCGAACATGTCTGCTGTGATCATAGCCACGGTAATGGTGATGATGAGAGCAGGTCCCAGGTTGAATCCGAGGAGGATGAAGGACATGATGAAGACGGACATGATGCAGAGGAGGAGGTTAACGATTGTTTCGTCCTGGATAGTGAGGTACTGTTCGTAGAAGAGGTAGAAAACAGAGTATGGGTACACTGTCATGTTACCAACTTGGGAGGACATTTCATCTGCAATGTCTAGTGCTCGTTTGTACGCTGTTATGAAGTCCTGAAATGATATACATAAATTAGCTATGTAAGGAGTATCAAATTAAGTAGGTATATCACACATTTAAAAACATAAATCGAAAAAATGTTTTACAGATCATGACCTTAATGACCTCAATGAAACTTCTCGAAAGTCATTAAATCCAGCACATTTTTTTGAGTAAACTTACAGCAGATTTATGAAGGGGAGTGTGGTAAGCTTGGAAGTAAGCACTCTGTATAGCGACTGGTTGATCAGAATCTTTCTGCCTTCCGTACGCGAACTCCACAGCGTCAGCGTAGAGGGCGTGGCCTCCCTTCGCGCAGTATTCAGCGTTAGGGTTATCGTTCAGGAAGGAGGGCAGGTGCTGGAAAAATAGATTCGAGGGCGGCCTTTCACCATCTGAGGAAGTAGTCCGTGTGAAAATACACATAAGACATTTGTTAAATAAATATTATTATTTAGCGCAAATGGCACTAACCACGAATAAAACTCTGCCCATTAAACTTTAATAATAAATTTCTTCTAACTAACCTGATTTCTTGAGGCAAGGATAACACGTGCTAGTTCTGTCAGTAGAAGGACAGAAAGTACCGTTGAAGTATATCCTGCAACATTCAAATGTTGGGTCTAACCATGAGAAGTAATCGTCCAGCCATGAGTTGGGAGGGGTAGCTGAAGTGATGGGATAAGGTTAGGATTATATCACCACTTCACCAGCATGTCGGATTACCGAGAATTCCATTAAAATATGAGGACTTGGCACTCCCTTAGCTAACAAGACAATCGAAATTAGAGTGATTCTAACAATAGGATAACTTACCAATAGTTGAGTAGTTGCTGATCGTAGACTGTCGCTTGAGGTAATTGAGAGCGCTGGTTGCGTTACAAGATCTCCCCATGCAAATCTCATCTTGCGCTGCTCGCTTTGGGAATCTCTGCCACGTGTCACCTACGAGTCAGAGTATAAATACGGAGCAAGTTTGTACATTAAACAACATCAAATGAATTCATTAACAAATGCATTAAATAGGGTAACGTTGGGCCACATATTTTTAATAGAACAAAATTACCTTTGTTATGAAAGACGAAGTATACAGGGGGTCCCACTCTAAGCTGACTGAATATGTCACGGTAGTAATCTCCTAGATAACTGTCGTGGGGTAGAGCCACGGTCTGGTCTAATCCTATATCTATACGGTTCATCATCCCGATACTTGCACAGGAGATGAAGATGAAGAACGCTACAACAGCCCCTCTCAGGCATTTTGAGGAGAACAGAGCAGGGGCCCAGTATTTCTCTATAGCAACTGAAAATTGAAAAAGGGTTAGTTCCAAATGAAATACATAGTAGTTAAACTTTCATTGCCAATACACATCACTTAAATCAAAGAATTTAAGATTTGAATTTGTTTAAAATATAGAAGTTGGTTTAAATTGGAGATGTGCCTTAAACCAATAAGGACTCACCAGCGACAACACCCTTTTTGCTAGACTTGTTTTCTACTTCTTCATTTCTTAAGCAACAGAAACAGTCGTATCTTCCACTCAACTGTCGCTTCAAATCCCAAGTGATGACCTGTAATTGGGATTTGTTAATTACATAACATATAGTGTTGAAATGTTCCTTCAAAGAAGGCTTGTACTTTAGCTAGTGATCATTAATACTTTATAAATACATTATAGATACATTATACATTATATACTTTACAAGGATGGTAAATGCGTTTTGGGGAGACTACGCGTAGGTACTACGCATACGTATTTCCCGATGATAAATTACGTATTTCAAATTAAGTTGCAGTAACGCGCGAAAATCTATATATAAATATTACATTACAGTATATGGAATCGTGGCCTAATTGGTTAATACGCTAGCTCCATATCAGCAGATTGCGAGTTCGAGACTCGGATAGGATAATTTTTTCCCATACTTTTTAGCAATTATGAATAACTAATGAATAACTAAAAATACCTCTGTAATATAACTAGCAAGGTGAAATGAAATCGTCATCCGGCCGAAAAATTTATTATAGCCGTTTTAAAAGTTTATTATAGCCGTTTTTTCTTTCCAGGCTGGATTCCTAGTCACTTTTTAAACTTATGCCACTGGGAAGTCCGTGTTAATCCGGTAACCGGTTTCAAAATTCAAGCAAGAGAGACTTGTGATCTTAGTCTGCGAATATTGTAATAGATAAAAATGCACTGGAACTGGGTCTCGGTTGAAAGTCTATTCCTCGAGGGAGGCATAACTGCTTTATAACCTGAGAAGCTCTGCTTTGCAGCAGACTGACTGATTGGTTGGTTCAGCATAAGAATAGCAAGTCGCTGCAGCGTTTTCATTCGAGCACCGTGAAGTCTCCAAAACGACTGTCAGTATTGCTATATTAATATACCACTGGGCCAGCGACGCACGCGCAAATATCACTAATCTGTAATCACGTATTTCGAAAGAGATACGCGCGTATTTTGAAAAATTTTACCATCAAAGAATTTAAGCGCCAAATTTTGCCGTATTTCACGTATTTCTTAGAATTTTTGAATACGGCGTATTTACAGGCGATTTTTTGACGTATTTACCATCGATGATACTTTATACATACATTATAGAGGAAAGACTAGCAATTGTAATTTTCAGTATGATTCACATATTATTATAAGTGGGTAAAATGAGGAGAACTGACCGATAGGAAAGCAGTACACTGTAACAGGAAGTTTATAAAGACTGCAAGAGCTGCGTAGAGTGAGAAGTTCTTAACAGCCGGCATAGTGGAGAGAGCACCAAGAGAGAAGGCAACTGTTTCACAGCACCCAGATAAGAGCATACTCGGTCCTATCCTGCCAAACACTATCGAGATCTGGACAAAGGAAGGGTTAGTCTTCTAAAGTATAAAGTTCAAAGAGTTCTAATTTTAAAAATATGTTTTCCAACTGTTTGCAAGAATGCTAAATTAAGATCAAAATAAAAACCAACCTGTTGAGGAACGTTAGATACAGATTTAGGAGGGTCTTTTTGTAGAGCTTGTACCAGGATATAGATATTATCTACTCCAACAGCCAACACGAGGAATGGTACAACCTCAATGACGATAAGAGTAGCCTCCCATCCGAAGAAGGAGAAGATACCAAGCGAGCAAGCAACAGAGCAGAGTACGATGATAACACCAGCCAACCCAACTACTGATTTAGCTTGGATAATGTTGGAGGAGCAGGAGAATTGGAGTTTACCCAGGGTCAGCGAGACGTATCTGAGGGAGGGTGTGTTCTTATGGTGCTAGGAGTGGGGTCATAATAGTGATATTTTATTCCAACTTAATGTTTTAATTTTTTTAATAATAATTAAACTTTAAATTATTTTGTTTTGTATTCTATGGAGGACTAGAAGTGTACAGTTGCATGTCAGTTAGGGTGGAGACTCACATGAACATGAGAACGTAACTGATAAAAACAGTATAGAGATCCTGGAAACTGCTCTCTGAGATCTCGTCTTCTATAGCCCGCTCAGCGCTGAAACTCACTTTTATCTTGTCGTTCGAGTATTTCTGCGGGTAGGAGGACGCTGGTTAACATTAGTTGCAGGGAAACAAACATGCTCATAAATTGAAACCCATTGTTCTTCGAACAAAAAGTTTTGACTCATCTTCATCACCAGAATTAAGACTATTCTTTACCTTCATGTAATTAAGAAACTCTTTCTCCCACGCCAGAGCGGCAGTATTGTTAGTCAGATGATTGTTGAGAGGTATTGTTATCAGAATACTCTCAGCTGACTCGAAGTTTTCTCCGTTGTACCCTCCGTATACCAGGTTAGTTATGGCAGGTCCTCCGAACAACCCAATACAGGGAATACCTGTGTTAGCTCCGTCCATTGGGGATAGGTAGTTCCTGAAAGGAGGAGTTGGTTAGTTGGGTCCGAGAGTTGAGATAATATTTGGAACAGCAGAAGATGTGAACTAAGATATTAAATCAAACTAAATGATTTAATTTGCCCTAAGTTTTGCTGAATTTGTTAAGTCACGTGGTTGACATGTACCTGGCACAGTAGTACATGTGGTCCAGGTAGTTCTTACTCCCTCTCTCAATATTCAAGTTATCCTGACTGTTTTGGAACCACTGTAAAGGAGATACTATCGCACAGTTGTTGTTGTCTGGAGCTAGTGGCTTGTAACACACATCCTGAAGATAGCGAGTATTATTAGGTGAAACGTCAAATAGTGATCGGTGAATACGTTAGTACAATTAGCAGAAACAGCTCAGAATTAAAGCAGACGGAGCATAATGAATCTAAGAAGTCCAGTCAGTCAGTTAGTCATATTAAAGACTCATTATCTGGTTACTGCAAATAGTCTGATACTTCTGAGACTTATCACAGGCCTTTTCAATGATTGTAACTTTCAAAAAATGCAAAAGGCAAACTAGTTATTACGGGCATAAGCTTATTCAAGCTTCTGAAATCAGAAAAATCAAACGATTTTCAGGTAAAAAACGAAAAGTGATATTATCTACACACCTCTAGAGATACGGTCTGACCGTTACTTTTTGCAGTGATGTTAACAAGAATGTTCTGAAGAGTCATTGCCTCGGTTAACACTTCCTTCGAGAGCACTGATCCAAACTTCACATTCTCATGCCGCTTTGCTGCCACTTTATACTCTTCTGGCTCTTGTCCATTTGGTTTTATCACAACCTGAGATATTATTAATTTACTACGAGTTACGTAATGGCGCTTTGAAATGGTTAAGTGCGATATATCGTAAGTGTGAAAGTGTGATATTCTTTAGCAAGTAAGGAAATAACCGTTTTGTTCAGCATCGATACCTGAATCTTGGTAGGCGAGCAGTGTGAATGGTGGAACATGAAATGTTTGAGAGCCGAGTGAGATGATGAGTGTTGATATAACCGCTACCTGAGTAGTTCGGTAGAAGGGGGTAAAGTGGTGGTCAAAGAAGTCCTTCTGTTGGCGGGCGGTGCTGGTGGAAGAGGACCACAGTTTAACAGGGTCAGTTGTTATCTTGAAGTAGGACAGTCCCGATGTGAACACTGCAACTCCCAGTATGGAACCTGGGTATTGACGTTTAGAGGTGCCGGATAGTCTTATGACGATTAAGCAATTCTATTTATTTTACTAAACTTGGAGCTTAACATCTGTTAACACATTCCTATGGTATCAGCACGAACGTTGCTGGACTAATGCCGGCGTTTGTAACTATCTTAGACCCAGTAAGTGGACCAACTCTGTGGACGTACGTGATGGACCTACGGGTACAAGTTTGATATGTTTAGGGTGTTACTGGACTTACCGATCATGCACTTTCCGGGATGTCTGCAACAGATACTGGACCAGATGTGGAAGCCGTTAGCAATGATAGTGTCAATAGTCAGTCCCTTGGACACCATCTTGTGTCCTATTTTCTTGACCAGACCACGTTTAATATCACCGATACTACTGCCACTGTCCATTGAGTCAGAGTCTCCTCTCCTTACGTAACGGTTATAGGCCCATCTTACCAGGCAGTGAAGTCCTGAAAAAGGAGGAGTTTAGAAACTGGTTGTGTTTAAAGTGTTGGCCGAGAGTTTTAAAATCATAGAACGTGAAATTGCTATTTTTTCCAAATAAGGGAAATATTAAACATGTATTTGTTTGGAGACAAAAAAATTTGTTTAATTGATGGCGCCGTGATGAGCCGATAAAACATGTCGAGAAAACATCACATAATCAGATTACGTTGATGTTTTCCTAATCTTTGTTATGACAACGCCCAACGATAATCAGCTCATTTGAAGTTCGCAACACCTTTATACGAACACGCTATTGACTATTGCGTAATGGACCGATATAGTCACACAGCGTGCGGAGAGTATTGAGTATTGTAATGAGAGTTTAACACGCCATACGATGAGATGATTTACTTTTGTTTCTGATAACAATGTGAGGTAGGGAGAGAGGAGGAACAAAGGTCATCGGGATCGAATAAAGTTGGAGAATCAGGCTATTGTATTTCATTATGTATTGTGATGCTGGTGACAAATGACAAAGAGGTTTTAGCCATGTAAATTGATAGATTGTTGTGAATGGAGTTGGTTAATATCCAGCGTGCAACATATTATTCCAAATAGATATGAAAGGTTGTGATAATATAGTACATGCTAACCTATAAGAAAGGCGAGGAGAAGGTATAGAGCTCCCATGATAGCAGTAATTCCGTCCAGTCCGAGGATCTGGAAGGGCTCAGTGGGGGGAGGCGCTGTTACCATCATCTCGTTCTTACAAGCCTCCGAGCAGTCGTCACACGTACATGCTTCCTCTCCCTGTAACGTGGCAACTGTTAGATCCTTTCTAGTGAGTGAGTGACATTTTGACGAGAGTTAGCCTGGGAATGCGAGATTAGCCTGGGAATGCAAGATTAGCCTGGGAATGCGAGATTAGCCTGGGAATGCGAGATTAACCTGGGAATACGAGATCAAGTGATCAAAACTGGACACAGTTAGAATCATCTCAAGAAGTAGAAAGTCTAGTTACCTCGGGAGTTGGTTCCCAGCAGTGGGTGAGAACTTCAGCTTTGAGCGGGGTGATTTCAACTGATCTGGAGTTACCGACATAGTAATCAGTGAAGTAGGGTGCACGGGCGCCGGTGCTGTTGTCTCCTAACGTTTTCAATAGTCGCTGCAAGCAAAATGTATGTTAGATATTAGTAGGTCAGCGGTGCTTGACAATAGAACTTTTCCATATCATGTTTTCTGGAGAATTCCAGTCGAGGAATTTACAACTGGTCATTACTCATTAGGCACTATCATAGTGGTTTTGATTTCTTCAGAATGCATAAATCACGCCATTCTGAGCATACCTCAAGATTCAATGGTCTTATTCTACTCACCACGTATGTGCAGTCCATATCAGCGCAGATCATTCCAATAGCACTCAACCCAAAACTAGTCACTTCTCTACAACTGTCAAATAATTTGACGGCGTACTCTTTGGTAAGAGAGGTTCGGTATGATCGGGCAGCAAGTGGTCCAGCAGTTGTGGGGAAAGTTTCTGGAATCTGGGGAATACCTTTATTAAAACAATCCGTTTAGCATATTGTTTTTCTTTGGTTCAAAAGATTTTGTTACCATTGAAACTTAATCGCCTACAATTTCAATTAGCGGACTAATGGAGTAGATCAGCAATTCTGCCGGATTAGATTGCAGAATTACGTGATGGACAGTACACACAGAGAAATTATAAGATGTAACATTGTGATGTAATACCTCCATAAAGGTACTCTGATCAGGGCTGCACATCTGCTGACAAAGGATCGTTCTAAAGTTAGCCCAGCAAGCTGCGCAGTTAGCCAACAGATTAGCTGCCAGTTTAATTTTCTCCGCAAACTCCTTGATCTGAGTAGAGTCACAGCAAACGGGCTGGTTCTGGAACATCGGACAGAAATCCTGAAATTATGTTTAAATGAAGTCATTGGTCAAGAAATGATGTAATTGTAATGTTATCTCCTGGTATATGGGGTATTATTCATTATTATTAAATATTCCTAAGATGCATTCCGATTCAATTAGAATATTGAGATGATCCAATTTGACAAGCACAGCTCAAGTTCATTACAGATGATCATTGACGTAGTACGTATGAATTACGAAAGGAACGCCTTGTCATAGTTAGTCACGAAACCATTCATGGCCTCATGGGCTTCTGATCTGATTTGCAACATCAAATTTGATCGTACGATCTATCGCGAGATATATCAGGCTTCAGAACGCGCGTAGATTGCGCGTTCAGAAAATAATGTCACTATAGACGAAACTCACCGCGCCAGCCGCATATTGAAATTGAAGATTTATAAAGTTACGAGGACGGAAAATTTCGACAAGTTGAGTATGTCATGGAGTTGCCCCACCTTAAACTTATCAGGAAAACGATCACGACTGGTTTACGGGTAGTGCCAAATTCGCAAAATGTATGTCCCACTTTCAATCAAAATCGGATTCCATTCTACCGTGTGGCAGGTAAGAATAATTGGTTAACAAGACATGTGACTTGTTTGTGTTTATTTTGCCTGCCGACACTCCACAGCGGTAATTATTAATTAGCGCCGCATTCCAGAGGACATGGACAAATGGCATGTGCAACGAACTAATAATAATATGTTCATGTTAAAAACGGTATGGGGGAACATATTCCCCTGGAAGTTGCTGTTCTAACCTCTGCACTAAGATTATGATAACTAATACAGTTCATGATATCGTTATGAATGACTGGTTAGTGGTTATATGCGAATGTCTTGCAGATACCATTAGCTCACGCATTATGAGTATAATAATGCAAAAACATATATTAATCGCGTCATTGCCGATAAAAGAACTCTCTTTCTAAAGATTCAGTGCAAGCCATCTAAAGCGAGTTCATTAGCTAGGTTTCTTCTCCGGGAGAAGTTCTCCCAAGTCAATATGGAAATATTACCAAGATCACTAGCTCCAAAATTACATCCGTACAATCCCAACATGAACCGATATATATGCATACATACTAGATTCTAAACCAGTTAAGTTTTGCTTCAGACGCTGTTATGTGTTAAATGTATCTCAACGCAACTGTTTACTGATTGACCCAGATCGACGAATGACAACATTACAAGTTTCCTCTGGCTTCAGAATTCATAAATTAAACTTAAACATAAAATTGTGTGCCTTCCTTGTCGATAATAATTGCTAGTTTATTCATTCAAGTCTACGATATTAGTTTACTTAGTATAAATCTGGTAAATCTAATAAAATAACCAGTATTTTTAACGTGAGTATATTTTCTCAGGAAAATTTGGTGCTATCACTACATTCGAACCCTAATAAGATCTTGGCAAGAGACCATTTCCTGTTCAAAATCATTACCTAAGCCCTGATAATGGTTATCTTCAGTATTCAAATTATGACCAGGTATCTTATCTAATTATGAGTACAATGGTTTCAATTTTCGGAGGAACATCAAAGTTTGTGCCAAAATTTCCTGTTATTTATAATATAGGACTTGTTACAACTTGTTTATTCATCCGAGCCTACGACGTTCTATATCCAAGTACAATTCAGGCGAATTCAAGTAACGAGTAAATTTAACGAAATATTCTCAGTACTTGATAACGTCTCCCGTGTCTTATCTCCGAATTAACACGATGACCAGATATCTTATCTTCGTTTGAATGCCATGGTTCGAAAAGTCACGACCATTGTGGTGAGACTTGAAGTCTCACGGAGATTCAACACGGGCTCGACTCGATTTTAGAGTTCACAAACGGGAGAAATTCGATATCGCGATAAAATTCTCTAGAGAGTTGAAATTCAGGTCAAACAGCGTAATATGTTGTTTACGGTTTTGATTTAACATTATTACCGATGTCATGAAATCAACCGGCCACTTTTGATTAGATTTACTTGAACACTGGTAGACTGGCACAAGTCCCTGATAAATTCGCGTCTGTACCAATCAAAAAGTCTGTCAGTATTTTCCGCAGAAAATTGACAAAATAGCAGACATTTCTCAGCCCACACCGTACAGATCTGTCTTCCTTGACTGTCACGTGCTCATCGCAAAGCCTAATTGTTTCCTAATTAAATAATCAAAATCATACGATCCGTCACAATAGATCTGTGAGAAGCGTGAAGTACAATTTCCTCTTAAAATCAGCTGATTTTATCGCAGACGTTTTTAACGAGATAATTTCAACTCTACGGAGTAAAAAGTGTCAAAAAATTGATAAAAAAGTCGCAGGTTTGATTGCTGTTATTATAATTACGGTACGTCTGGAAAATTTAGAGGAAATTTAGGGAAAATTGATAAGATTCTCTACTTCTGGTTAAGTACAATGAGGTGATTTGAAGAGATATTCTGTGGAATTGAGGGTTGAGTAGTGGGAGTAGTTAGGGTTCCGCTAAATCTGGCTCAGCTCTGAATGATGACTCGATTGTGGATCGGTATGCTTTGTGTAGATGTACTGTGTACATCAGAGACAAATCCTAGAAGACAATATACCTAGATAAGAAGTTAGTGCTCAGCAGAAGGTTTGGAGCTGGTTAAATCATGGCATATTGTGCCCAGCTAGATCACTACTCAGTACCCAGCTAGATCACTACTCAGTACTCAGCTAGATCACTACTCAGTACTCAGCTAGATCACTGCACTTTATGGTTAATTAACTCAGGGGCATTCCAACAATTTCTATTGACAGATACTAAATATGTCCAGCGCGACTCAACCTGATCAAAGTTTCCAAACCTTACAACAAAAGTGCAACCGAAGCACTTGAGCGAAGCTGTCTGAGCTCAACAGGGATAAAAAAGGTCAAGTAGCTGGTCAGTGACAGTGTAAGTGAGGAGTAAGTGACGATTGGAAGGACTTGTTAACTTACACCACCGTCCTCAGTTTACTGATTGTAACTATTCTGGTACTTATTAAGGTTTACAAGCCTCTCAACACGTCAGACCCGTTAGGGTTATAACTTTATAATGTCTTACTACTACTATAATGGCTTTGTGCGAGAGTGTGCTAGGAGGGGAGATGTGTGATTAACTGTAACATTGTCTCTTACCATTCAACATCTAAAGTCGGGAATAATAAATCAAGGGGATATCAAGGGGATATCAATGTGGAATAATACGGTTTTTGTGTCGATGTTTGAGATATTTGCAGCATTTGTATACGATCTGTCAAGTTGAAGGCCATAAAACTTGTGAATTCAAGTTGCTACCCGCCAGACAATACAATCATGGGATATATATTGATTGAGGCTGTCGTATTAATGTCGGTATTGGTTGGAAATCTAGAGAAAATCCAGATCTACATTAACTTTCATGTACTGTGTACGGCTGCACGAGAAAATATATAAGTCCACAAGTTGCTATGGTCTTCGAATAATGCGCAGATGTATTTTTGTCAATTCTCTGATGTAGCATGCACTGCACATTAAAAATTTCGTATGTCTCGTTAAAACAGCAAGTGCAGAAAATTTCGGGTCAATTTGTTAAACTTTTCCAAAAACAAGACCGCCGTTTGCCGTACAGTGAGTAAGAATTCCATCAGCTTTCTACATGTACTGTTTAGGACATGTTATATGGACTACACCACTTTCGCTTTCTTGGTCTAGAGGGAGAATTTGGAGGATAGAGCAGTGCTCTCTTATCTTACTCTCTGTAATAAGCATGCAAATGACGAGCTCTTAGTTGCTGTCAGAAGTCACATACTAATTCATAATAAAATTGAAAGGAGACCTAACAATCTAATACCCAAATTTTATACCCAAATTAATACTCAAGTCTTATGCTCAGATTTTTCAATTTGTGGCGAGATTTTGGGTGATTGGAAAGCCTAGAATTACTTATACATAATTTCAAGTTATAATTACCAAATCACGGAATCAACCAGCGTGCCGGGTAAACGCGCATGACCAATTTGTTCTTGTACAAAATATAACCACTAACCAGAACATGCTATATTCAGCACATGAAGTAGCAGGGAACAAGCACATCCTGTACTGAGTTTAACCAATTATATCAACTAAACCAGCGGTTCTAGAGAACTACCAGTTCATAATAATGTTTACACAATAATGCGGCTACAGTGTGTGATGTGGAAATTTGGTGTTCTGTTGTTCTTAATGGTATAATATCAACTGGCCAGTTAATACTACTTCCTGTCACTCTGAAATAGAAGAAATATTGGTGCACAGTGCACATGCTCGGTATAAGTGTTAGCATACTTTAGTCAATATTTTACTATGCCTATTTGACGGAACCAAATTAAGCAAATGTCCACACTTTATAAATTTAGATAAATTTACAGGACATTCTTCAGAATTTGAAGGAACACAATAATCGGGTAATATTGAGTCGTTAAGAGGGCTTGCAAAGGCAGTTGTAAGGTTCAATAACTCGAATGAGACTCAGATTTAAGTGCTAAGCATACCATTGCTTATGACTGCCCTTCAATAATTCCCAACCACGTACGACTCAACAGAAACTCGTGCTCGAACATATCGAGCCTGGAACTTTCCAGGCTTATTGGAAATTGTACTTAAACCTTCGATGGGAGTGTTCCCCATCTGTAATAACCACTTTACTGGTCATCGGTAGCTGGCCTGCAATCGAGCTAGACCAATTTACACCTGCTCCGCCACTCCAATAACCATTAGATCTAGTTATGGGAGTGATCTTCCGATACCCGTCTTAATAACCCCCACAAAACCCAATCCAGGTGACTAATCACAGTGCAGCAGGTAGGGTAATTTACACTAATTTTACTCCTCCAAACTGGCCCCTCACTGTTACATCGTTAACCAGTGAGTTCTGTGTAAGTAATGGCTTTATAAATATAATGACCGTATAAAGATCGCTAATCCGAGTATAGCTTCAGCTGCAAAGCCGGGTAGATAGCTGAGTTGCTCTCTCTCTCT